TTCAAACCAGGGAAGTCTCCTTTTCCCTGGGGTCTTTAGTTATCCTCCTGGGCATGCCATGGCAGCTAAAGACAAAGACACTTCTGTGCTTCCTATTGTTTTATAGATTCCACTTTTACATGGGAAGTTCCCTGGCCAGTCCCTAAAAATTAAGGAAGTCATGTGACTTAGCAGGACTAACCACTGCTAAGACTTAAAGGATAAAAGAAGCTGTTTACATAGGATTGCCCAGACACTGAAGTGTCCCAGCATTGGAAACACCCTTGATGGAACCATTCCATACTCCATATATCTAACTTTACACACAAGAATGAAACACCAAAATCAGATATACAGACCCAGCAGATTAAGACACTGTCGATAGGTTACATGAGGCAATTTGTCCCAGGCAACTTTGAGTTATGCATGTTTGTGTCCATGAGTCCATTTCATAAATAATAGGGGGGATCTGTCACACTGCCCCCTGAAATTACTACCAGAAGGTTGGACAGTGTCCAGAGCAGGGACAGACCGAGGCATTCTGGTGCCCTGGGCACGGGCGTGCGGTGCCGCCCCCGGGCGCATGGCACATGCGCGGGCCTGCCCTAAGGGGCGCAGGCCCACTCCCAGGGTGCACGGCACATGTGCAGCCTGGCTATGGCCACTGGCGCACAGCCCGGGGCCTGCCCCCGCAGAGCATGGCGCAAGCGCAGCCCAGTCTGGCCTGGGCATTGCTGCTGGCACGCGCGCCGGGCTGTGTAGGGCCCCGTGGCCATAGGGGAAAGGACATTGCTGGACGGTGCCTTGGGGATGCAGGCAGGCCGGCGCTGTGGGAGCCGGGCGCACGGCGCCTGATGGCAGCTGTAAGGGACGCCACGCGCCCCTTACAGCTGCCATCAGGCACCCCCCATCGGTTGGTGCCCTGGGCAGCTGCCCGGCTCGCCCATGCCTCCGTCCGACCCTGGTCCAGAGAAAAGGCAGTGTATCCAGAAGTTCACCTGGGCTTTGGTTACATAACCATCCAGTGTCACCAAGCTGTGCTGTCACTCATGGCAGTTTTTCCAAAGTTCAGGGCTCCTGTCCCCCGATGGTCTGAAAACATGTTGGGGGTGTACCAGTGCTCCCAGAATGCCAATAGGAATGTCTCTCCATGTGAAAGTGTTTAGTCACCATTGCCAGGAAGCGGCGTGCCTTAGTTTCCCCTTCCATACAGCAGTGCAGGTTTGTTGTGCCTCTCCTTCTATGCCCAGCTCTAAGCCTGTGCACAGTCATTAGCTTAGAAACTGCATTCTCACGAGATCCTCTTGTCCTGTCCCCAGCAGGCACAAAAGTTGTTCCAAAAACCCAAGCATGTCACATTCTTTTAAGAGGTTCATTGTATATATCTGTTTCTTTTGTGCTAATCCATAAGTGTTGCTGGAAAAGGCATAAAGTTACCAGCCAACCAATTTCAGAGTAGCATTTCAAAGTATGGTTTTCATACCACACTCTCTGTTTAGACCGCTTGTGTGGCACAGTATTTCTTGCCCTACTTTGAAACCTCTATGTACCAAGGGGTGTATTCATCTACAGGTTTCTTTTTCTCATCAGTAAGGTATGCCATATCCAGTGCACTCTTAAGGCTCTGGGAAGCAATGGATTCCCAATGGAAACATTCCCCTCCCACTGTTGAGGCATACGTCATCTCTTCCCTCAGATGGGTCATTAGCAGACTCCCATGTATTGACAGCCAGCCAGAGATTTCTACCTCCCTGACTCAAATCAATTCAGTGTCTGACACTAGTGTGTTCTGACTCAACAGGGTTTCCCCCGATATCTCAGGTTCTGCTTTCAAAAAGCTAATTGCAGAGTCCCCTGCTGGGAGTACAGACTCACAGCTCCCTCTTGTAGCATGACTGACACGTAGGCAGCTTGGATTTACAGACACACATCCAGCATTAATCTCATAGCCCCTCCTACTGAAGATGGGGGAACCATCTTGTCCTTCTCCTCTGATCCATCTGCCACCTGCCCCACTGTAGGCACACAGCTCCCAGCCATGACAGACCCTGCCTTGGAAAGCCCTGCAGTCTTTCCTCTTCTCTCATTGGGCAAACCCTCAGTCACCAGGCTTCCTCTGCTCCCACAGTAAGTAGCTTCTTGGTCTCAAGCCTCTATCTGCTTCAACACACACACCCCTGTGCCTCCTGGCATTGGACCTGCTCCCTACTGTTCCCATGAATGTCCCTTCCGGACATACCACAGCTTGGACAGACTCACTGACTCTGGGCAATAACTCAGGGTCAGGGCTGGCTTCCTCCATCCCTTCTCCATGTTGCACATTGCTCAGTTCAGCGAGAGGAGAATCAGAAAGACAATCTCTTGTCTCCTCCACAGCCCCTGTGGCATTTCCCTCCCCCCTCTGGGGTTTCTGCACAAGATTTCTTACCACTGTTAACAATCCCAGGGATGGACTCAGCTACATTAAAAGGGTCATTTCCAAAAATGCATGGCACAATATTCTCAGGAATTCTTTTGCAGGCAGTGATACATTCAATCAGAACTCCGGACATATCAGAAGTGGGACACAGTCGATGCCACACCTGGATTTTTGAAAAGAAGCAGCCTGCAGCATCAGGGTGCTTACTCTCGAAGTGAAATACAGCCAGTTCATGCAGCCTCTCTTTTCTCCTCTTCTGTCTAGCAGCTATTACGGCTTCTTGTTCAAGCCATCTCAATTCCAGAGCTCTCTCATGAGCAGCTTTTTGAGCTCTTTCTTCTCTGTCCATTTCAAGTTGTATTACTTTTAGGGTTTCCTCATGGGCAGCTTTTTCCCGGGCTGCTTGGGCTTCTATCTCAAGCATTTTTAACCATTTGTTTCTTATGTTCTGCCTCCTCGTCTTCTGCTTTGATTCTGTACAGCTCCAGTTTCTTCTGAAGCTCACTCTCACTCATTTTTGTGCCTCTATTTCTCTTACCTGAAATAAGCCAACAGAAAATAACAAACCAGTAACTACTCTGTCTCCCCTCTAAAAAACACACTTAGAACCCACTTAAAATCACTACTAGAATCCAGTGTAATCAGCTGTGCACATTTACTCTGCTCGCTGCACCACTGTGACAGGATGAGGTCACAGAAGACCCTCTTAGGGATGCTTCCCAGGGTGCTGACAAAGCCACTGCACTTCACCTTTCTGTTCTCTGGGCCTTTTCACTACCCTATGCTTCTGGGCCAGCTCCCTGGTCCCCTGAAGCCAAGTTACAGAGCTGAGATCACTGCCTCCATACCAATATCCAAATAACCAGTCTGACCAACAAATGTGGAATATTTTTAATTCATTCCAGAACTTAAGGCATCAGAACCAAATCCTGAGGAGTGTTAAGAACTCACAACTCACCTAGAATATGATGAAAAATGCACATCCCATTATCTCTGGGTTTGCTTCTTAAATATGGGACAAAGTGTAATTTTCTTAAGCCAATGGAAGCAATTCCTTAAATACAATGGGGCAGATCATCAATTGTAAATTTCAGTAATGTAAGGGTTAAAGTCCATTGAACGTTGACAAATTGTATCAGTTGAGGATCTGCCCCTCATAGCTCAAAAATCATCACTGAGGACAACGTATTTGCTAACTTGGAAATGCATTTTCCAGTGCCTTGCTACTAGTTAAGATTAACAACTCCTTTAGAGTTTCAGTTTGACTCCTCCATGACAAAGAAAAAACAAACTGTTTTGATTCCAAAAGCTCTGCTTAAGAAAACAAGACCATGGCTGCATAACACTGACATTTTTATTAGAATTCATTTGTAACAAATGGAACTTGTGTCAGCAAAGAACTGATTTTCATACAGACTTTCTTTCGCCACCAATGTAACGAAGTAAGAAAATAAAAAGCACGCCTTTCATTCTGTAAAACATTTACGCGTACTACTAATTAGAGGTAATTGTATTTTTTTAACAAGCCATTTTACAAGGTAATTTTTTTTTAAATTTTTCAGTCTATGCATCCAAAACGAGAGCAAAGAACACAACTTTTATTATCTTTGTAAAGACACTCCAAGCTTGGATGGCAAAGCCACGTAACAGATGGGGATGACGGGACTTGCAGCCTTCTGATATCTGCTGGAGTATCAGAGAACCCCAACAAACAAACAAACAAAAAAAACCCAATCGACCAAAACAAACAAAAAAAAAACACAAAAAAAAGATGGAAAGAAGAATAAAAGGGAAAAAAGCAGTTGCATTTTTTGTTGTTGCAAACATTCTTCCCCCCCTCCATTTTTACATGTTCTGTGTTATTTACATACACACAAGTGGATTTTCATAAGCAGTTTCTTACAGATGGGTTCAAGTAATAACATTATTGGGTGTAGAATCAATAGGGCAGTGCATAGTACAAAGGTATAGAAAGTGCAGATCTCCCTAGAGGGCCCTCCCTTCCCCCAGCCAGCCTCTCCATTGTCTAACCATGCAAATCATTTTAAAAAAAAGAGCTAAAATAAAGTTCTGTACAAATCATTTTTATATATTTTGAGTTTTTTCCATTGTAACTAATTACAAAATTATACATAACTACACATACATAGGTAAATAATAGCACCGTACTGGTTATGCTGATGAAACCAATTCTAAGCTTGGAAGATTATGGAAAATGAAAGATGCTTTTTCTTTAAACTAACTATAGAATGACTATACATTAGTGTACAGAAAGTGGAATGCACATCAATGATGCTAACAGAGTTATCTTTAGAAACAACTCCTGAATAGCAAGATTATTGGAATATTCGCAATCTCATTTGCCCTACAATACTTTCCCTCACTCGCTATTTATTTCAGTTTTTCCCCCCATTTTCTTTAGAATTTTCAAAAGTTTCAGTGGAAAGAAAACTCTGACCTGTTAACAGCTCTGGTGTGCAACAGCCCTCTCTAGTCTATGCTTCTAAAATGGTGTGAATGTCTGACTATATTTGGCTAAAAGAACACAACTGCACTACGTAATCTGGCACTTTAATAATTCTTCAAAAGATACAAATCAAAAAAGAAGAAGAAGAAGAAAAAAGAAACATAGTGCACATTCTTCTCTGGTTCTGATATAAGTTATAGAATCTCATTCTTGAGGTAGCCTTCTATAATACTTTTATTATTATATATATATATATATTTATATTTGTTTTTGTTTTGTTTTGTTTGTTTGTTTTTTTTACAAAAGTGCTCAAATACAATGCTTGCTAGTGTTTGGTCTTTCATACATTTCTTTCTATTAACGATGGGAAATATGGAAGGAAAAAAAATCCTGTCTGTTACATCAACATAGCTGAACTATATGGATGATACTTATCTGACACCTGAAAGAAAGAGTTCCTTCAATTTTTGTGCTAACATGGTACAAGGCATGATAGAGACCCGGGCCATTGTAAATGGCTTCCTGTAGAATCTCAGAAAATATTTTATACTGTTTAAAGAATTTTTTTCTCAAATGGAAAGCAAAACCTTTTAAAACATACTCCGAGGGCTAAATCCTGCTTGCCTTATTCATACTAATAGTCCCATTGCGACTGATAATTTGATTTCAGTGAGCCCATTCAGTGAGCCACGTGTATTGCAAGCAGGAGTTGGCCCTAAATTAAAGGAATGATGCATGAGTACTGCTAACAACAACTATTACTTACTACGATTGCAGTCCTACATCTCTGCAATGACAATACCGTAATCATCAACACTGTGGTTTATGAGAGCCAATTTGGAAGGAACTTTAAAATTGTGGTATGTCTGTTGGAGTTATGAAAAGATAAAGGGCCCTGACTACCCAAGTGTTCTGGGCTTGTATTTATTAACATCCCATATTTGGTTAAAAACCAGGAATGCATATTATTCAAAGTGTTTTGTACATGTGCTTTAACGGAAAAGAGTAACAAAGATATGAATTAACTAATGGAAATACAGACAAAAGAAAACTTAAAGAAATGCTATCAAAATAGGCATCAATATAAGGCACTCTAAAATGTGAAATAAAAATAAAAAACAGCATCTCTAAATGATGCTGTATGCCACAAAATATTTCTGATTTATTAACAGAGCAACATGAGTTTGGCTTTGCTCTGTTACACATCATAAATGCAAATTTCTTAGCACATACCATAGACAATATATGACTGAATACACGTTTTAAACATCTTGATAGCTAGTATATTACAACATTCTCCCCTCCTAAAGGGATATGCACTGACCTTCCCCACATGCACACCTCCTATACTTAATAATATGGTTTATTATTGCACTATAGTGTTACAAATACTGAACTTCATTTGAAGCTTCAACCACATAACGTGTGTGTGTGTGTGTGTGTGTCTTTGTGTATATAAACAATATTTTTTTCCCAGTTGGGGTGAGGTTCAAATATCACTGATGTGCATTCCTCATTCCCTTCTAACCAAAAAGCTATGGAGCTTGGAAATGCAAAGATGTTTGAAAAGTACCACATGGGTTGAATGTAGTATTCTGGAAAACTCTCTCACCACTTCAATAAATCCAAGTCATGGAAGAACTGATGCATCTATATATATATTTATGTGTGTATATATCTATCTGTCTGTATCCCTGAAGATATACAGATAGATAGATATAGCTAGACAGTTATAAAGAAAGTGTGCACACACGTGTGTGTGTGTGAATTAGCAGCAGCTTTATACTTTGCGCCTCCCTGTTGATTCCAAAAGAAACCAAAAAAGCCCCACTTTGATTAACTGATTTAGTATTTCTTTAAAAAAAATAAACCAAACTGTAATATCTAAGAAGAATGTGGTACTGTAGATAAATATAGGACTGCACAAAAATGTGCAAATTTTCAAATTATTTAACATTTCTACAGCAAGATATTACAGGTAACAGTTCCACAGCTTAAAAAAACCCTACAATTCTGAAACAAAAAATGAACAGTTATGCAACCTTTTTTAAATTCACTTCATCAAATGATAAACTCTTATTAAAAAAAGGAAAAAAGTTTACACGGTTAAAAATGAAGCACAGGTCAGCAGTATCTTTACAATACTAAAAAACTAAATCAAGGACTTTCTTTTTAAACATTCCCCCAATTCCCTTAAAGTGTTATTATGAGCATTATGGTGGGAAGGGGTGATGTTGAAGCAAAGAGTCCATTTTGTTTTAAGAAGCCAGCTGCCGGCCTTTTAACAAACATCTTGGACTGAATTGCAGTACTCTCAACATTCATCTTTGCAACAATCATGCAATCCTGAACAAGATGATGGTTCTTTGCAATAATCTCCTCTTCCCTTTAATTTCAACCAAAGTTGAATCCTTGAGGTATCTGTAAATGAGATCCTTCAGACGCCTCACCAGTCAGGATTCTTTTATTATATTTCAGGTTAGGTTATTAAACTGTGAATTCTTGGTCCATCTGGAATAGTTCTTGGGGTTTGTGTGTGTGTTTTTTTTTCATATTCCCACTAATTGGTCTTTAGCTAGGAGTTAAGAAGTACTTCTCAAGCACACTGTATGGCTCAGAAGAGGCTCTCTGGATCTTAAAGGGCCTGCAGTAAAAATCCAGGATGGGTCAGGGGGGGTTTACGTTGCATAGTGATCGAAGCTGCCCAAGTATTCCAGCGCAGCTCGATAGCCAAACTGGTATTGATCCTGGAAGAAAGAGAGGAGAGAAAATATAAAAACCTGTTTGTTATTTTTTTATTTAATCAGAGACTCTGTGAATACACTATATCCCACAGAGGCCACAGCAGTTCAGCGATATCCTCCTGCTGACATCAACAGAACACACTGGTTTGTATTACAGTAAACAAAGATGGGTTGCCATTCTCATTGAATGCAATAACCTTCTCCTTAGATGGAGCCTGCTTATTTATGAGGTGAATATATATTCATTTACCGAGTATTTGTTGTTCTGAAAGCATACGAGAGGATTAGCAGAAAGCTTTTTTGTCTGAGGGGAGTGAATTGAGATTTACCTTTTGCATTCTTTCATACTGTTTGAGACTTGCTAATAAAATATTCAAATAACATCTCAATGAATTTGACTAATTCTGACCTAAGTCTCTCACAGCCCAGGTCTGGCGCATTGCACCCATAAACACAAGGTAAAAATAGCAGTTCAGGAAGCATGGAGAGATCCATTCCTGCCTTGTTGCACAATGACCAAATTATTCCTGCCCACAGGAGGGCATGGTAAATTCAGCACCTCATTGATATGATGCAGCTCACAGTTCATGCCAAGTCTCTTCAGCATGACCTGCATCAGTGTTCCCTCTAAGCTGCTCAGCAGCACCGCTTCACAGGCGATTAATCAGCTCCACCCACTTAGAGGCTCAGGGCTCCATGCACAGAGCTGACTGACTGGGCAGGGCTGAATAATCACCTGTGAAGTTGTGCTGTCATGCAGCTTAGAGGGCACACTGGCCTATGTCCCTTTTTATCCTCTGCACCTGAAAGCAAAAGTGTGGAAATGAAAAGCACTTCATCTCATTTGCACACATAAGTAACAGTCTCTATGCTATGTGGGTCTCAGTCCTGCAAGTTGTGGAGCACTTTAATTCCCAACCAGCTCATAAGTTGAAATCGTTGTTTATTCCTATGCTGAAAATTAATGATGTGTTTAAGTACTTCGCAGGATCATGACCAGAGTACTCGTACCTTGCAGGAAGGTGTCACTAATGATCATGGCAAATTACATGAACTGAAGTGGGTGCATTATGATATGACACTGCTGGTGCAGTGAAAGCCATTGAATTGTGATCTGAGTAAAATGAAACCCAGGTTCTTAGAGTTGCAGCACTGTAGCATCACATGAACAAGTCCTCTAGGCTGCTTTTGTATTCTGGGGGGAGGGGAGGAGGCGGGGGTTTTGGAAACAACTTTTGTTCTTTCTCAGTGAGTGGGGTGTGCAAGTTTACTGCACTCTAGGGGTATGTCTAGAGTACATGGCTCCATCGATGGAGCCATGTACTCTAGACATACCCCTAGAGTGCAGTAAACTTGCACACCCCACTCACTGAGAAAGAACAAAAGTTGTTTCCAAAACCCCCGCCTCCTCCCCTCCCCCCAGAATACAAAAGCAGCCTAGAGGACTTGTTCATGTGATGCTACAGTGCTGCAACTCTAAGAACCTGGGTTTCATTTTACTCAGATCACAATTCAATGGCTTTCACTGCACCAGCAGTGTCATATCATAATGCACCCACTTCAGTTCATGTAATTTGCCATGATCATTAGTGACACCTTCCTGCAAGGTACGAGTACTCTGGTCATGATCCTGCGAAGTACTTAAACACATCATTAATTTTCAGCATAGGAATAAACAACGATTTCAACTTATGAGCTGGTTGGGAATTAAAGTGCTCCACAACTTGCAGGACTGAGACCCACACTTGTAAGCCACAAACACTTGGATGAAATTAACACAGCACATGGCAGATTTCTACTTTCAGTTCAGAGTGGGAGCGCATCATTTACAAGGAAGCTGATGTAGCAAGAGGGAAAGTATTTACATGGCACAGTCTAGCATTGTATTTATGTGGGCACCACAAAGGCCTATTTTTCTATATGCTAGATTTGTTTCTAGGAACCAATGGGACAGAAAGTAGATATTTCTTATTTTGCTTAGATGTACATTTTCTACTGCAATAATGGTAATGGAAAATAAATGGCGTTTACTCTTCAATTTTGTATCAGTGAATTACTTGGCTAAGTGATAAAACTTTAAAAATGGTCTAATTTCATTTTAAGAGAGTATGTGTGTGCGTGCGTAAAACACTAAAAGGAAGGCCATATAATTTTTATTGAACAAGTGTCATTTTCTTAGAGCAAAATGGCAAACAGCAGGGATCAATATTAAATTTCAAATCATAAACACATTTTAATGGCCAATGCTATAGAAGATCCTATAAATGCTTTTCCTCCCGCCTTTTCATTCTCCTTTTTTAATGGGTATGGCCTGATGACATACAGCTGAGTCCAAGGCTCCAATTCATGACATGCAGCATGTATTTAAGCATCTGATTAAAGTTAAGTAAGTGCTGAAGTATTCTTTATGAATTGGGATGATTCCTAAATTGGAGCCAAGAGCAGTCTGGCTGTCCTTGCTCAAGACCTCCCCCTCCCCAGATTGCAGTGCTCTCTCTGACATTGAGTCCTCTAACTTTAAATTGTCCCAGGGCAAAAAGTTGCACTTCAGTTTTTTTCATAGGGATGTAATGCTTGCACTCCTGTCAGATTTGGTTTTTATATGAGGCTTGGACATCCATGACAACTCTATAGTCTCAGTTTCAAGTCACAAGACCCATTCGGCCCTCTAAATGAACACAAGCCAATGGGTGCACCCACAGGCTAAAGTTTGCACCCTGATTATGAACATAGATTCCTAGCCTGAAGAAACATTAAACATGATATGGGCAAAGTTTCCATCTCAAGTTTCTTCTAGGAAATAGATTCACACAAATATTTTATTCAAACACCACTAAAATTGACATTTCCCTGGCTGTAGTATTCCCCATCCATAGAATGGGAAACAGTATAAATACTCCCATAAATGCACAGCATTGTCTACACACATAGGTATAGTACTTAAGAAAGGAACATAAATTGTATACCTTACAGGGGTCTAAAATCCCATTTAATTGGTTAACTAGTTAATCGTGACGTTGAACCGGTTAACCGATTAAACAGGGGTGAGCAGGGGAGCCACTCCATCCCAGTTGGAGCAGCCCCTGCCTGTGGCGTGCCCCACATAAGACTGGAGTGCCTCCTGCCCACGGCAGGCAGGAAGCTGCTCCAGGCCCCATCAGTAAACTGAAACCAGTAAGCACCACTCATGAAACGTGATGCTTGATGGTTAACCTTTCACGTTCCTAATACCTTTTCTATATATTCCTGGCTATGTAACCCCCTACCCCCTCCATCTTCCATTTCTAATTTTGCATCCACCCAGCCACCTACCCTGACCCAGTAAATGCATATGGATATTGTTCTTCTCACCTCTGTCTGTACCATGGCTGGCCGTTGTGTCCTTAACATTTTGACTGTCTGGAAGATATCTACAACACCTTCATATCTCATTCTTTCCAACACGATGCTCAGGGTTATGAATACTCCAGTTCTCCCAACACCCGCACTATTGCAATAAAAAAGGAATGTTAACAGACATTTAAACTATTGAAAAGAATTGGCTGACTATTTAGCTGTGGATACAATATACCATATGTGCATGGTCATCCACATGAGAAAAGGCTCTATAAGCAAAACTTCTGTGTGGAAATTATACATATTGACAAAGTGGACATTCTCTGGCAAACTCAAATTTGTACTACTGAATTTCTAGTGAAAGTTGGATAACCAGGAAGTATTTTTAATGTTTTTGTTTGTGACCAAGAATGTACAGTGGTCAGCATGTGGTAGGGGAAAATGAGAGGGTTCACCGGCCTGCCAATAGTCTAATTGGAAATGAAAAAAGAAATGGAAGCCAGAATTTAGATTACTTCTGTATCCTTATCTCAACTTATTTAGGTCCTGTTACATATGGTATGTTAGATTACTCCCTGTTCCCAGAACCCTGAATTATGCAAGGGTAAGCTAAGGACAGAGCATCAGCTGTATCTTTCAGTTTCTTTGCTTTTATTGTTTAATGGAGAACTTAACACAATTTTCAATATTCATACACATAATGTGATATAAATATGGTGTTTGAGAAAAAAATATAACTTATATTATAGAGGAATATAACAATGCTTCCTCTTCATGTACAACAACTTTGACAACTGTAACATGAAAGGATGAATCTTTTAAGCAAGTCTGATTGCTTCCAAGGCTGGTATTTTTCAACTCCTTATTACTATAAGACAACTATTTAGAACTTTTTAACCAGCAAGAGAAGGGAATTAATTCACACTGTTGTGTTCTTGAGAAACACAAAAAAGCATCTGGAGAGTTGGTTAATGAGGAAGACTCTGAATAATATGAAAAATCTCCACATTTTCAGATCCTAATTAAGCAGCAAGTGTAACGCTTGAATAAAGTCTGCCAAAAATGGATGGATTCATTTACTATGGGCTGAAGCTGACAAGCATATTTAAACAGTGTGGCATCTCTTCACCAAAGGATGTTTAGGATTTCTAAAAAGCTGTAACAGTGTTGTTCAATGAAATCCACAATACCTTTAGCAGCTTTTAAAGATCAATCTCATACAGTCCTACTCAAACACAGCAATAAACTCTGTTCTGCTATGATAGTACATAAAAGGGCCAGACATGTTGTTCATAGAGCCATCTGTTGAGTAAAAGTCAGAGAGCCTTTGCCGGAGTTCTATAACCCCAGATACTTATTCTGGTTTGAGAAGGATGTTTTTCATTAGGGGAAGGTAGCAGGGTTTGTGCGCTAGGGAAGGGGCTAGTAAGTATTTTGTGAGCTAGGCTTAAGCAAGGAAGTTTTTGCAAAGGGGAGAAGTTTATCTTTAAAGGGTGGTCTGTGTTAGGATAGACCAGAGGATTGATAAGGTCTTAGATATCAGCTGACACGGGATGCTGAAAAAGAAAGTGCCATGTATAAGCACAGGAGGATCCCGTGCGGCCACTAACCTGGCATACCTTGAGCTGGTCCTACCATACACTATTTCTGAGCCTTGGATTTCCAGAAAAGTCCTTAGTTGACCTAAGTGCTTTTTAATTAATTGCTTAATGAGGTTAGAAAGTTTAAGTAGTAACACACTGGTTTGACACCCTAGAGAAGTAGAAATCACTCAGTATCTTATAGTTCTGAGTCACGGTGGTTTACTCTAATACAGGTAAGCAAACCACAGGAAAAAAACATATAGAAGAGAGGAAAATTACAGGGAACCAAGAAGCAGGAAGTTCAGAGGGTGAGGAATTTCCCTGAGCTCCCATTTTACAAATAAGTCCCTTGAAAATAGTCTGGAATACAGACCACAAGCAATTTTTATAAAAGGGCTGCAGAGGAGAGACTGAATTATATAGCAGTCAATAATTTGTAAAGAAACGTGAATTGCTCCGTGTCTACAAGATGTTGATTCTGAACGATCCTAATAATGACAATTTAGATGTCAGTAATGTTGACTATTTCACTGCCAATAAGGCATCCAAGAAAGAAGATAGATGATCTAACTGAGCCTGATCTTGTTCCCACTGAAGTCAATGGTGCAGCTCCCATTGACTTATGACTCCGAGCCCATTATGATTGCATCTCATCTCAACATCACACATGGCAGAGCTTGTAAAGAATTATATTGCCCACCACTCCGTTGGCATATAAATCCTAAAGCCAGTTAGGGCGTATCTAGACTACGCTAAACTTTCGAAAGAGGATATGCAAATTCCACAAGAATTTGCATATCTTCTTTTGAGCTCATTTTCGAAAGTGGCACTTTCGAAAGTGAAAGTAATTAAGATGCGGTTTTGTTGGCAAACCCTTCCGTTTGTCGACAAGCCGCGTAAACCTCATTTTTTAAGGAAAAACGGCTTGTCGAAAAATGGGAGGGTTCACCGACAAAACTGCATCTTAATTACTTTCACTTTTGAAAGTGCTGCTTTTGAAAGTGAGCTCGAAAGAAGATATGCAAATTCCCATGGAATTTGCATATCCTCTTTCGAAAGTCTAGCATAGTCTAGATACACCCTTAGGGTTGGACAGGGCTAATATTAGAGAGGATGTGTAAGATAATTCATTATCCCCTATGTACCAATGAACATCCCTCAGAGAGATTCTGAGATGCCTTTCTTCTTTGCAGTATGTAGTAGGCATTAAGGGTGTGTCTAAACTACAGGGTTTTTTAGAAAAAAGTAGCTTTTTATCGAAAAAACTTCACTTGCTTCTAGATTGCTGCCACATTCTTTCAAAATTAAATTGAAAGAATGCGGCATTTTTTTCATCTGCAGAAAACCTCATTTTATAAGGAATAACGCCTTTTTTCAAAAGTGCTCTTTCGAAAAAAGGCATTATTGAACGCTAACAGTGCTTTTTCAAAGGAGAGCATCCAGACTGCCTGTGTGCTCTCTTTCAAAAAAGCAGCTCTCTTTTTCAAAAATACTGATTGCTGTCTATACACTCCCTTTCGAAAGAGGCTTGTAGTCTAGATGTACTCTAAAAGACACAGCAAAGGAGGAGTATAGATGGTCCAGCAGATCCACCAGCTTAAACTTCCTGTTTAGGGAAGTGCAGTGGGTCTCAGCTGGTACTAAATTCCACCAAGGCAGTAGAGCAGTTGCGCAGATACTGTTCAACAACGGCTGTTGCTGGATTTGGCAGGGCTAGAATATTTCCCTTTCAGTTCTTTTCTATATACCCCCTCTCCCAAATGAGTTTATCTGGGTTTTCCATGGGAGAAAAAGGCACCATTCAGCCCATAGAAAGAAACTTGTACCTACATTAAATGTCCCCCATTACAGAAACAATAAAATGTAAACCATCAAAACCACCATTTAATTATTGCAAAATTAATTTCTAACTCCTAATAGAATTTATTGAAAGCAATGTATTAATCAAGAAATCAAAGATAAATATATTCTCTTTAGCATCTGCTAGAGACTTTAGAATATTGCCACCAAAAGCTGTAGGCGTAAAATAAAAATTATAAAACTTCACTCTGGATTATTTCTAGGGCCTGATCCTAAAAGCCATGGTCACTCATTGATAAAAGAAACAGAGGGAATACTGCACCTTCTGAGAGGATAAGCTCCACATTCAGAGCTTTTAGCTGACTAGTCAAAAAACACAGTGTCTGAACGCTATGATTCTTATTGCACTGGATTGCTTAATGTAGTAGCCATTTTTATTTGGCCTATTTTGACAACCATCCCCAGCCTGCTACTCAAGGACATCTAGCATATTTACTGGTAATGATCTTCATCACCATAATGGCCTCACTCCTAATTACTATTTAAAACAAAATCGGGCACATCACTCTGTAATAAGGCATTTCCCACTGTGCAGCATAGACCAGGTTTGTTTTTATCCTGTGGCAAAGATAATTTGTAAGGAAAAAAAAATCACATTTGCTCTTATGTGAGAGGCACCTTGAGTGTCAATATGGAATTTTGCCACAGTTTAGTTCTAACGTTATTGAAAAGAAGGATTTGCATTGGATTGTTGTTCATTTGGGAAGTCATTCCATTCATATCTGAACTTTCACACCAATTAGCCACCCTCTAAAGTCAACTGTAAAACTTTAAAAAAATCTTCTTAGTCAAGAAAAAAATCAATCTGCATTGCAGTTTTTTACTTACCTACAATGAACAGAGATCGGTCCATCCTGACCAAACTGCTCTTTTGTTTTATGAACTTGGCCTATGAAGTCAATAAATCCTTCTCCCGACTTTGGCACTCCTTGTTCTGGCCAGTCAGTGAACTGGAATTGCCTCACTGTTCGGGACTGGCCGTCCTTTAAGGAAAGGCACACACAGTATACCACAAAAGAATGTTCCAGGAGATGAAAGTCAGTCAGTCAGCAAACCAGAACAGCAATTATTGGGAAGGGGAAAATATGCAAAGAGCAAAGATGGCTAATATCACATTTACTAAGATGCTTCCAATCACAATGCTGATGAGCTTATGTTTTTCCTCTTGTTTTGCAGATATTATACCACATTGACATAAGAGGGCAATTTCATTAACCACGACAATACTCAAATTACTCTCGGCATTGGCTAGGATGTTGTCTGACATTTAGATCTTGGAAAAAGAGAGCTTGAGGACAAGGAAGTTGGGAGTTAGTTAATTGGCAGGATTTTTTTAATTAAGTACTTGTGAGAAGTGCTGGATTTATTGCCCACAAGATTCAAATCCTCTCTTAAGTTTTATGGCCTGTGTTATAGAAGAAGTCAGATTAGATGATCACATTGGTCCCTTCTGTCCTTGGAATGTATGAAAACAGGTACAGCATGGCCAGTGGCAGTGCAAGTTTCCCCACACACTACCTGGCTAATATGTTTCAACCTCAGCTTGGCTGGGCCATCTCTACAGACAAAAAGGTAGTTTTTTCCCATTCGTCCTTTGTCTTCTCTGTTAAGACTGCCACTAAGAATGCTGGATGTGAGTGTTCTTTTGTGATATGGGCATCTGTCTATTAGGAACTAGACTGAGACCACCAACTCATTTCACGTAACTAAACATCCACTGACTCACAATGCAACTTGGACTAGACAAACTAATGACCCTATACATGGAAAATTCCTTCTCTCATTAAAATCTACAGAAGCAGTCCACACGTCTGTGGCTACTTTCTTATGTGATGATTAGAGTTATTGGTTATTAAAGTTGCATAATACTGTATGATTCTTAATACTGAAATAAAGCCACAAGTATTAAAGTCAAATGAAGACTTTATTTTAATGCCAATTTTCCAATGGTTAGTAAAATAAGTGCAAAATATAATCTAACATGATGCCAAGGAATATGGTTGTTTTAAATACTCAGATGTTATGCTTGCTGATTTTGAGCACTGTCAATCTGTATAAGGGGTGACATATCAAAGGACTGACACAAATTGAGCTACTGCTGTTAACCTTCATGCCTTCTGGACACCTTTTACTTCCTAAAGGCATCTACTTTTCTGCTGTGAAAACTGAAACAACATATGCTAGTCACTATGCCTCTAAGCAGTAACTGTGGCATTGTACAAGAGGAGGAAAGAGGAAACTAGCGCCAGATGCCATTTCTTCAAAATGGTCTTTTACAGAGTTAAACCAGCAAATCATCTAATCACTTATAGTAACCCACCAAAAAAAAAAAAAAAAAAAAAAAAAAAAGCAGATTGGAAGGTAAGGGGCCACAGGAGTCTTTATATTCACACCAAAATACTTCACCATGATTGTTCTGACAACAGAAATAGAGATCATTTGAAAATTAAACAAATTAAGCACTTTTTCTGATTTCTCTACTGGTCCATTGACTTTCTACTTCCCAGATCTACAAATGAAACTTATACACAGTCCTCTTGCTACAATCCAGAGAAACAACAAAAACATTGTTTAAGTCTGACACATCAATCCTTCGTATCCTTTGGAAAAAAAACCCTCAGTCGAAGTGAACTCTCTAGTGCTGAAGAATTTGTTTCATCCAATTAAAATAAATGCATATTTCAAAAACTGCACCTGAGAGCACAATTTTGGTTGGCTTTCTAGAGCATTACACCCCTTAGGAAATCCAGCTTCAGCTATTTGCTAATGTTTCTTACTAAAAATGTCATTTTCTTAGGAATAAACCTCTCTTGTAATGTCCTCCTTGGTATCATGCTACCCTAGACAGGTACACTACTTTGTCCCCTCGAAAGGCAATGTCACATAAAAAGCCATATGTAGGTCTGCAGGGATTAAATTTGTATTCCTCTAGGTCAGCCATGAGCCGTGCTGGTGAAAATACCAGGTGTTCTTTATCAGACGGCCTTCATCAGCCGCAACTCTCTATGCTTGCTAGCTGAGAGCCGAAAATGGGATAAATAACATGACCTCGGTTCTTAGCCCCATGGGAACTTGAGAGTGGCATTGGACCAGGATGCGCACACCCAGTAAATAACTAGTGTAGGGAGTCCTGTGTCCAGTGAGTCTCACCGGGGACCTAGACCTCAAAGGGTGCCCTGGATCCCCCTAACTAGAGCCATGTCCACTGTGGCCTGGTGCGAGGTGACCAGAATGGGACTCCCCACAGAATGAAGGGGCATATGCATTTCCAAGTGCCTGTTACTCTTTTATGCATTGCTCTGCCTATGCTTATTGGCATATTACTTTGCAGTAGCTGTGTAACCATCTGGCAGTATTAAGCCTATAATAGTAGTGACGTAGTGAGAAATTATAAAAGCAACTATCCCTAATTGACTCTGTCTTGAAGTGAATCCACAACTCTGTTGGGTCCTGCCCCTGTGAGTTAACAGGCACAATCAGCACTAAGCCCTAAATCACCTGGCAAAAGGTGCTCTGGCAACAAAATGGCTGACAATCTCTGCCTCCCAAATTAAACAAAGAAGAGAATGAAAAGCCTTCTGTGAGACACTTTGGCAACATCCTAGATAACACATGAACCAACTTCATCATTTCCCAGAGGTGCTTGAAACCTGTACTGGTCCAGGCCTCATTCCTACTCTACCCTTTTCCCCAAGCCCTCCTCAAGTCCCACATTTTCCTGCCCCCTCTCTGCTCCCATCCTGTAACACCTTTTCTTCTGAGTTTGACCCACCTTCGCTCTGTCTCTTCTCTCCTCCCTTCCCCCCCGTACCTCCTGAATGTTGCTGAACAGCCAATGGTGGCAGATGGGAGGCACTGGGAAAGAGGAAAGGAAAGAGGGAGGGAGAAAGAGAAGGAGAGAAAGGAGTTGATTGGCAGGGCCACCGGTGGGTGCTGAACACCAACTATTTTTTCCTTGTGGGTGCTCCAGGCATAGAGTGTTCCTGTGCTTAGGGAGAATCTACTAGACTAAACCTAATTTAAGACGAAACTGTGCTCAGGCAGCAGCTGGAAAGATCACTAATTTCTATCTCTATTTTGTGAAACTTTTTTTTTTTTGGTAAAGGTTTAACTTTAAAGTGGGGCTGATTACAGCAGTGGGCAGTTTGCTGAAAAGTGGAATACTTTAGATTACCAACTGCTAGGAAAGGAGTCTGTAAAACCTGTTCCTCTTTTGCTTTAATAGCAATTAACAGAACTTATGTGGTATTTAACGATGATAGCATAGTTTATAAAGTCACTCTGATGATGATAGACTAGCATGAAAACAGATTGGAAACAGATCTACAATCTCTTACATTATGTTCCCCATGCTGCTGGCATTATAAATGGTGTTGCTTTTTTTAGTGAGATATCTCCCCATAGTAGTCAACTTCCAAGTACACATTTTATTAAAATCTTTATTAAAGAACATTTGTAAGAGTTTGCAGAGTAAAAAGTGCTGTTTTCAGCACATGAACTTTCAGATTGCTGTGCTGAGCGAAAGAGGTCCAGGTTTCTTTTAATGTGTTGATTGGCTGGCCATTTAGACTTCTATTTTGCCTCTCACTGGGCTATTCAACTGCCTTTTGATGAGCTTATAGAAAATATAATAGATTTCATAGGCTGGTGCTGCATGAAACTACTCCAAGCTGATGATCCTCAGAGTTTACAGAGACAGTTAGAAATCACAGACAGGAGCAGTCATGGAGGTTACCAGAACTTTATGACAGTTCACTGTGCAGTGTAGTAATAACACAGAGCTCCACATCAAATTCTGCTACTGACACCTACTAAAAGTAGCACACGAGGCCACTGATGATATTATCAAGTTACAAAAGACTTTGCACATCAAAAGGAGGAAGAATGGTTACAAAAATAAAGGGCTTTTCTGCTCTAGATATGTGCATGATTTAGTTACATAAATTCCACTGTTGTTTGTGTGAGGTACGCCGACTCCAGTTCCAGTTTTTACATAGCCGGAATTGCATACATTAAGCCGACCTCAGTTGTAGTGTAGGCCTGGCCTGAGAAAAGATTAGGTCTGATTTTAGTACATGCTGAGCACCCACAACTTCCAGTGAAGTCATGTTCTCAGCCCCTTTGGATAGTCAGCCCACATACCCCTCTAAGCCTGTCAATTAGTCATTTAAAGCACCTGGAACCATTGGGGCAGCACTAAGGAAACATTAATATTAAGGGATTGCGAGGTAGCACAACAGGACTGGCGAGTTATACTCAACATAGGTTAAATCAATTAACTCTTTAGCTGGTGTGTTAATACTACAGACAGTCAAACTATTGAGGCAAATAATTTATTTGACGAGTTTTGCTTTTTTTATCAATTTGCAAACTATTCACTAATTCTGACTGATTTTTACAAACAATGTTTGTAGGACACATTGATTTGTTGTCTTTGATGAACACCATATGAATACATTTTATCCAAGGGATTGTTTGCAAACTGTTTTCATCAGTTTCAGAGAGGTAGCCGAGTTAGTCTGTAACAGGAAAAACTTAAAAAACAACAAACAGACTGGTAGTACTTTAAAGACTAAAAAAATATGTAGATGGTATCATGAGCTGTCGTTTTCCAGTTTTTCCAGTTACATATATATTTGGCTTTCTCTATGATACATATCTACCCTCTGCCTCTTTCTGTCCCTCTCTCATTTTTTTCTTTCTCTCCCTCCCCCTTCTTCCCTCATTTATTTGGGTTCTTGACATCCAATACTCTGGTCATCTGAAGAAGTGGGCTGTGCCCATGAAAGTTCATGATACCATCTACATATTTTGTTAGTCTTTAAAGTGCTACCGGACTATTTGTTGCTTTTTAATCATCAGCTACATCTTTGACTCTTTCCTGCCCATCTGTAATATGTAACTGGTCACCTGTGTCTCTTACATATCTTCCAGTTTTAGGAAGAAGAGAATGATATTACTAAGTACCAGGGTGGTATTGAAATTGGCTATCATGACTGTATGATTGTCTTTGTTTATAAGCATGGTTGAAAACTGCTGCTATGAGCCATGTCATCTCCAGCACTGTTACACAGAGACACGTCGGAAGAGAAATCATTCAGATGAACCTTACTCAATTGTGGTAGCTCACGTAAAGTGGTAGCCAATCTAAATTGTGGCTGTTTTTGTCTTTGCAAAGTCACATTCCAGCTTCCTTGTCCAATTCTAGTCTTAATGTGCCCTCTGGCTAGTGAAAATACCATTTAGCTAACTGTTTCAAGTACTAGTCTACCTTTTCATTATAGCCTATGATAACATCAGCAACGTAGTCATAATTATAAAAGGAAATAATAGATTCACAGATTATGAGGCCAGAAGGCACCAGTGTGATAATTTAGCCTGACCTCCTATGTAACACAGACCATAGGGCACTTCTGAATTAATTCCTGTTTGAACTAGAGCATATCTTTTTAGAAAAACAGCTAATCTTGATTTAAAAATCTTCCAGTGAGGGAGAATCCATCACAACACTGATATGTCATTCCACTGGTTAATTACCTTCATTATTAGTATTTTGCACATTATTTATATTCTAAATTTGCCTCATTTTAACTTTCAGCTGTTGGATCACATTAAACCTCTCTCTTCTTCACTGAAGAACCCTTTATCCAATATTGGTTTTTCATATATGTAATGTGTAATTTCATGTGTATAGCTCTGGAGCACTACGTTTTATTCCCCTAAAGTCCTGTATCCTGCCATGTTGCTGCAATAAACAGTATTTCTACAGTACTTCCAAAGATGGAGCAGGGTAGGAGTTTCCCTGCCATACCTTGTGAAGTTACAGTGTGAGAAATTAGAAATTACAGTATGAGAATTGTCAAAGCGATTCCTATAAAAATAAGTTTATATTAATTAATCTTACATCAGTGCTGAACATTGGACTCCGCAGTCTGTAGAAGTGCAGAATGGAAATTAGCTAACCAGGGTCATGGCTGTATAGCTTTTCTCTGCAGACATATTAGAACACTAAGGAGTAAGCCATGCCAAAAATTGAAGTCTAATGTGCAAAGCTTGTCAAGCTTTTTTTAAGAAAGCTATTTGTGCGGCAGTTTTCAAATCACACCATATTAACCTTCAAGTGTGCATGACCTAAAGGGCTGGACAGAACAATAACATATTTACAGCCTTAAGTGATGCAAGTTCCAAAATGCAGCTTTAGCAGGCGGTGGTGGAGGAAATGATTGGGAACATAGCTTTCTGATCAGCTAACGCTTTTCAGCACGAACACATATACTGAACTTGCAAAAAGTTGTGCTGCCCAGATGTTATGCTTGAATTACAGCCAGTTGTTCTCTTACAAAGTTGTTATTATCTTTCCCTTCTCTTTGGCAATTGCTTAGGACTGGGAATCAAGCATACCCCTAAGGCATTGCTAATAAAAAGAAAAGGGAAGGTACTGGATTCCTTTTAAAGATATAGAAAGTAGAATTATGTTGTGTTAACTTACCCTGGCATCCGTGACCTTGAATTCCCTTAGGATATACTGTGGCATGTTGTACTCTGCCATGGGGTCTACCACAAAATACTGATATCTGGCTGAACGCTCTGCTGGCCAATACTGGTGGCATTTTTCCTATTAAAAAAAGCAAATTGATACATTATGCTCATGAAAAGCACCATTACTGAAAGAAATAAAGCCCAAAGTCTTCTATTTATCCATAAAATAGGAGGTACAACCCTAGTATATCACATTGCCAACCCTCCAAACTTCCTTGCCAGTGGGCCGTGGCATATCACTATTTCTGTCACATGACATAGAGCTTCTGAATTATTCCCTGCACCCCAGTTAAATTGTTATTTAACAAAAATGATCATAGTGCCTACAATAGAGATGTAATGGTGCAGCCAATTAACCGATAAACAAAAGCTTATAGGTTAATGGTATAGACAATATGTATTTCACACACACACCCCCTCGCCTACTACATTTTTTGCAGGATGGCCAGCAGCCTGCCTCAGTCCTGGCTTGTAACGGGTCTGGGATCTATCCCCCACTGTGGCTCTGCATTTAAAATATATTAGGAGGTAGGTGGGCAGGCAGTTCGGCTCATGCTGGGTCCAGGAGCTCAGGACCTCCCCCCACCTCTGGACTGGGGCTGCTGTCACCCCTGGATCAGAGGCAGCAGCATGGGGAGACAGGCAGCCAGTCCATGAGGGGAGCTGGTTTTTAAACTGGCACACCTCGCGGACCAATTTCCGACTAGCACCCTGTATCAGAGGCAGCAGCGCGGAGTGGCAGAGGGCTCCTCGGGAGTGGGGCCAGATTGCACTGGCTGCCAGCCCTGCCCCTGGGGACTATAGAATAGTCGAGTAACCAATGAAATTCATGAGGTTATTTGACTATTCAATTAACCTATATTTAACATCTCTAGCCTGGAACTCTGCAAACCTTGGTGATTTCAGTTCACAAAGGTATCCAAATATTAAAACTCTCTCTCCTTTCCTTAATTTCCATCAAGACACTGGCCTCATCTGAAGATCTAGCCTTTTATATCAACTATGAATTCTCTAAACCATCTAAGTCTTCCAAAAGCAGAGCCCGAGTTTAATATCAACTTCCATACAAAAGTTTATACTGGTGCAATTCTACTATTTCTGTAAACTACTCCAATCCTTCTACTACACCAGGCGGGAACTTAGGCTATGTCTATGAACCAGCATTACTTTGGAATAACTGACATTATTCCGAAATAACATAGTCTACGTCTATACTGCAAGCAGATATTTAGACATGATGTTGAAATAATGTTGAGCTACAGAACTTCTTACTCTGACTCCTGTAACCCTCATTTTACGAGGAGTAAGGAAAGTCGATGGAAGAGTGCTTTAACTTGGACTCCTGCTCTGTAGACAGCGCTAAAAGCTGAAATAAGCTATTTGGCTTAATCTACTCAATTGACGTAGCTCAAGTTGGTTGGCTTATTTCGGCTATAGCCCTGCTGTGTAAAAGTGCCCTTAATGAGGTTTAGCACTGTAAACAAGCTGTTGAATTGCAAAGGTCACTATAAAAAGTTCATAGGAAATGTTGGAACATAAGGAAATTCACAAATGGAACAGTGAAGACTTATAGCATTTTCTATGACGATTTTATTTTTATTGTTAAACACTACCACTGATCTTTACTTTTTTGGAGATTTTAAAATAAGGCATGAATTTTCCTAAAGAAACAAAGTTGAAAGCATACTAAAGAAATACTCACTCTGCCCATTTCTCGCAGTTTAGTAAGCATGACTACGATTGTGGAGTTATGCTCCCAGAGCATCCTCCAGAAATCTTCAGTTGTCTCTGCCAAAGGTCCCTGTGTAGCTATGTAGGCTTTTTGTTGCCTACATCAAAAACAAGGAAAATCCCCAAAGTGATGACACTCAAACGCTCTCTATTTATATGTAAACATTATATTGAGACACAATTATAGGAAAAGTAAGGAAAATATATATATATTATTAGTGGTAAGCACGTTAGAAACCTATTAAGATTGTTTAATGAAACAATGGCATTTTTTATTTTTAGAACTTTGCAAAGGAAATTGCTCTGTTAATATTATGATGTATGTCTTTATCATTATTATTTAAATTTTAATGCAACTCTAATAGCTCAATTTCGTGTGTCATAAAAAGCACTTAAGGAACACTTAGTTGTGCTGCTTCATTTTGTAGAAATGACTGTCGTACAATCTATTAGGTTTATGAATTATAGCACCAAGCAGCTTCTTTATTAACTCATTCAATAGTGTAATGACTCCAGTAAAAGTAGGCAGGAGACAGAGCCTCAAAAAACCCCTCAGAGTCATGTGGCCTGCCACATGTGGTCTTAATACTGCCCTAACAAGAGGCTACACTTGTCCTTTATAGGTGGGCACCAAACTGGGAGAATCTTCAGTGGGGGCGTAGTGCACAGAAGGAGAAACAATGACACATGCTTCCTTTGCCCCCTGATCTCTGGCTCCATGAAGATTTAAGGATGGAGACAAAAAGAAGCTACTCTCTGTAGTATGCTGTCTCAGTGCACAATCAAATATAGATGAGTGGAAGTTACTACTACCCCAAGCAGCATTATTATTTACTGTGTCCCCTTCATGGCTTGTGTAATGAAGCCACTGGATTAGTCAAGCAATGTCATCTGGCTCCTGAAGAAATATGTTGTAAGGATGATAGGGATTGGAGTGATGTATGGGTAATGGCTGCCGAGATGCATAGCGCTGGCCTCAGAGAGTTCAGTAGGATCCACACAGATGGATATCTGCTGCTTTTGAGAGATAAATTCCCTGACTTTTCTTTCCCTGCCTCTCTTAATGGAACAATACGAAACTGAGATCCCAGCTTGGCTATGCGTGAAAGTATAAGACTAACCTGATGCACATAAACAATCCTTTACACTAGTAGTATTCCTGTGCTGAAATTTAGGCATGATTATTAAATCAGAGTTCTTTACCCCAAACCAGTTTCCCTGCACAGTGTAGGTGAGAACACAGTTCAGAGTTTATTTTTCATTAATTGAAAATGAAAACCAACATGGAATGGTATGTACACATACAGCGTGACCCTTAATTTAGTTGCAATTTACTATAAACATATACAGTTCACATGTCAACACACCAACATTTAGTACCTGTATCCATCAATAAAACTGGCATTGATATAATCAGAGCCTTCTACTCCTCGGATTGGCTGCAAACATACCCTCGTTGATTCATATGGCATAATATTAACAAGGCGATTTTTGAATTTATTACATGGAAGATTGGCACTGATGAATCTTGAAGTATGAGCTTTAGAGCTAGCTAGACGCTGTTGAACAGAGAAACATAAATTGAGGGAAAAGTATGACAACACCCAACAATTTCATAGGCCGATATCATCTCTGTTTTGGCTGATTACAAATCCCATTAATTTTAAATGATCATTTTCTTATATTCTAACCATACTAACTAGATACATATAATCTGCTTTTTAACACTATGTTACAACTTTAATATTCTAATTATATTTATGAAAAATACAAATACTAAACTATGTCAAGAACTAGGCGACCAATATTTTAAAACAATAAAACAAACAAACAAACAAAAGTACGAAAGATCTTTATCTGGACATTTATAAGGCTTAAAAAAATTCGACATAAAAATGCAACCTTATTTTCCACATAGCATAATTGTGAAATTCTAGCCTTAAGAAAGAGCCCAATGTTCCTGTGAACAACTAGTGTAAAATTTAGCATCATCAAATATTTACCCCAACATATTTTTATCTTCCCGTTGCATGCAGTACCTTAAATTCCAGTTCCATTCCTGTGACATTCTCTCCTGTTTCTATCTGTGTCAGCTTCTGAATATATGCATACAGATTTCTGGCTGGCACTTCGGTATTTCCACATGTCACTGCTTCCAGCAGTGCATCATGGATAAAGATGTATTGGTCCTCCGTCTGAACCATGTAATTCCTCTGGGCTCTCATTAGAGTTACGTGGCCGTAAATATCTACAGTCTTTTCATGCTTTATTCTCTCTAACATGGCATCTATTACAATGAAGCAGCCAGTCCTGCCGACTCCAGCACTAAAAAGAACCAAATAAAAGTGAAGGAAAAGGATGTTTCATTTAATAAAATCTGCATATTTTGATGGCATTCACTTCCGATAACTTTGAAGGTTAAGACATGGGAGTGACTCTGGGCTGTTCACTTTTGTACTAATATTAACTTTAGTTCCTATAAAAGGGGCACTACTGTTGGGAGAGTTGAGCTAGCTCCCTTAGCTCCCTTGGTCCATTATTCTCAAGCAGTCTCTATTCCATTAAGAAGAGAGTAATTTGTTAGTGAAACTGAATGATATAGGCAGTGCTCCCAAACCTTAGGCCTGTACAAGCTGCCCTTGTAGGTGAACTATAAGCTCCCACTTCCTGACTCTGATCCTGGATTGGATCTTGAGGCAGGTTGTACTAACCTCAATCCTCTTCACCCAGCAAAGCCACCATGACTATTGCACCAGGTGCTGTGAATTGGGGGATTGGAGTGACTGTGCTATGCTAGTCCTGTAGCATTATGCGGGGGAAATCATTAGCAGGCCAGAGGTGTACAAAACAGGATTGAAGGGGGCCCATGAGAAAATTCTTGTCAGTAAGATTCCACAAGTCTTAGAGATCATTAAACATTTCTGTACACCAGTTTGCTGTTTCCAAAAGCAGACCTTTCAAACAACTACAACAGAAATCTTGTGCAAACGCACCAAACCCATCAACCTCTCTTTCTTCAAATGCCAATTGGGAAGCACCTTCACATTCACTTTGGTTTGGTAAGAGTTATACGCTCCAGCAAGCCTGAGCTATTTTTATCTTGGCAAGCCTCCTTTCTGTGGGCTTGCAAGAAAATCACAGAAAATGGCACCCACTGGCTTGGCACATAAGTTTACATGAAGTTTTAAACTATTATTCCCTAATTCAGGGGCCACTCTTGGCTTGTTGCCAACAGCAGAGACTGACATTGTTGTCCATTACAAAACATTTAGCACTTGCATCATAGTTCCTATGATTGTGGCCTTTTGGATCCATTTTGACTTTGCATATAACTAGCAAAAAAAACCAACAACCCTGTGAAGTATGTGATTTTATAAGATATCTAGAGCAATCCATACTTCTATAAATGTAAAATGAATTTTACTAATAATTAGTAACACAGTTACTCAGTCATTGTACATATGGCGTACTTCCTCGTCGTGCAATTATGTCAAATTTTAGAAGCAAAGCAAGTAAGGCCTAATGAAAATTTGGATGGTTTGATAGTGGAGATGTTACTATCAATTCAAGGTCTGGCTCCCTCACTGAGATAATGCTCCAATCAAAAGCTGACAGATCAGCTAATGCTGACGCATCATACATCCAGATCTATCCATACTGAGGTACTTGGCTGTACCTTATAAGGCTTTATGTACACTTGCAGCTTTAAAAAAGCTGCTGCGGCAGCACTTTAATGTGATAGTGTGGTCCTGGCACTAGCACAAGAACTCTCTCCCTGTGCTTTTGGAAAACCATCTTCATGAGGGGCACAGCTCCCAGGGCTGGAAGCCTGTCTAGACGGGCAAGTTTCTACACTGAAACTTGCTGCACTTAAGAGGGTGATTTTTCTTACCTCAGAGAGTATATCTACACTAAAGAGTTTTGTTGGAAAAATAGCTGTTTTTCCAGAAAAACCTGTTATGTCAACACCACAGTCATGTTCTTCTGAAAGTAAATCAAAAGAATGGAGGGGTTTTTCTGGCATTGGTAATCCTCTTTCTATGAGGAAGATGCCTTTTTCTGAAAGGGCTCTTTCGGAATTAGGCGTGTGTGGATGGGGAAGAGTGAGTTATTTCGAAAGAGGAGGAAAAAGCACAGGTGCCCTGGTGGCCACTCCATCCATAGTAATCATAGCTTAAATGTAAGATAGTGCCCATTTAGTGTGGACGCTGTTTTTCGAAAAAGCAAATCGCTCTTTTGATGCATTTTTGTGTGTGGATGCTCTCTTTCGGAAGAAGTTTTTTCGGAAGATCTCTTCTGAAAAAAAGTTCTTCCAAAAGAAGCCTGCAGTCTATACACAGTTGGGTGAGAAAGTCTCAGTGCGATAACTTGTCAGTATAGACAAGCCCTTAAGTTGCTGACATACTCATCCTCAGCAAAGTTTATCCAGCAGCCATTTATCTACCTTCAAGTGTTTGAAATATTCAAAGGTGCAAATGGGCTGAACTATAATGAGGCCAATATATCCATGTGCTTTGAGGCATTTATCTACTTCAAGGTGCCAATGCCTCCATCTGCATTTAAGTGTCCCAAGTCCACTCCCTTTCCCATGCCTAGGTTCTGAACTCTGCTGCAGTACCATGTGCTGCACAGCACTCAGATACTTTGCTCCTCCTCACCCATTTTTCTGGTACAGTACAGACACCTTAACGTTTCAGTGTCTCATGGTGCTTGGTCATACTTCACACATGATGTGTCTTTACACCCCCTAGACTGAGACTCTCAGACATCATTCAGAGGAATAACAACTTTCTAAACAATGGCAGAAGTTCACAGTCCTGTCAGTCTTTCACTTACAACAAACACCATTCTGTGTGAATGAATATTAAAGAGATGCTGATTAGTTCTTGTGGAAATTCATAAATCATAGGGCTGTGTTCAACAGTATTTGCAAAATAAACTCTGGTTGTGATATCAAGACCTTCCTGATTCAAAGAGGTTGGCCAAAGAAAATACAAGTTGTGTGAAAAGCATTTTGTGGTAAGTGACCATTTAAGAATCTTGAAGCGTCACCACTGAAAATCAAATGGGTTAAAAGGGGAACCCAAGCCAAAATTCTAGATCTTACACATCTCTCACTTCTGGAATGTTTATAGTCTGAGCTTAGGCCCTGACCTGAATCTTACCAATACTCCACTTTTACTTATAATGGCTCAAATCTAAACTTTTCTTCTGTGAACATGCCTGACTTTTGACATGTCAGGAATCTGAATCTGATTTTAAAGTAAGAATAACTCTTTAGTTGAGATGATGCATATGAGCCCTTGGAAACAGAAAGGGATAAAACAATTAAATATAGCATTCTATAAATAGGATTGTTACATAATACTATGTACAAATCTGTGTATTTCTTCCTAGAAAGGGGAACAGGTTACATTACAACCTGCTGAAACAAACACAGTAATCAAGGAAACTGAAATCACAAAATTAAACAGAGATGTTTAGTATTAAGAAAAAACAACAACCGCATTTTCATGTATTCTCTGAATAGTTGCTAAAGGGAACAGATATTTACTTAAGTTGTACTCTTCTTTGTATAAGAAAAAGAATTGATGTTTACGATAATATTCATTTTAGCTTAAAGTAACATAATCAGTGACTCTTCCAAGGATTTTAAACTCATATTTGCAAGTTGGTTTCCTGATACCATATTTGAGGCTGAAACTCAGGACACAGGAATATGGGTCAATTATAATTTCCTTTTCTTTCAGAAATAGCCTATGGTAATGCTACTATTTTAATCTATCATTTTAAAGGAGTATATTTTATATCTATTCACTTAATTCTATAGCTTAAGCAAAAACACTCGATTTCAGTTACAACCCCCAGAAAAAAAAATCTATGGCATTTTGTCAATGACTTCAAAGACAAATAGGAATTTTATAACTAGATGTGACACACCCTGCTGACATTTAAATTTTACCACAATTACCCAGAAATGACAATAATTGCTGTTATTTGATCATGAAGAAATTGAATGGTGGGAATCCTTGCATGCATGCGTGTCGCGTGCGTTTTGTGGAAACTATGTTATTGGCTGAATCACCAAATTTCTCACTGACCTTAATTTCTTTTATTTAATTGTTTTCTTTTTATATTGCCCAGCAGTATCAAAGTGCGTTGCGTGACTCAAGTTGAATGATTAAAATTCTAAAAGAGAATGCACTTTTCTTTGATGCTGAAGAACTAAGCTTCACATCATGGTGATAATAACAGAACACTATTTGTGCTTTTTTGTTTTTCATCCTTTCAACAGCCTTCAACCAAAAAACATGATAAGAACAGCACAACTGATAAAGCATCTCTATTTGATCTGCTTTTCGTTGTCCTGGTTGCAAGGCACTCTGGCTGATTCTCTCATATCTTAGAATACAGTATGAAAACATCAGCTGCAGGCTGAAGCCACCACAATTCAATCCATTTATTCTATTTTAAAATCTCTAAGCAAGAAAGAAAGGAAAGAGGATTCATTTTTTCCAGACAGGACAAATACATAATCATGTACCCAATGCTGTATAGTAGAAAGCAACCTCAGCTCTCACTGAGGCATAATCAAACAAAGGAAAGGCACTCAGCCCCTCACAGGACTGGGTGTTATGTTTGCACCTACACCCCCCCAAAGCAAAATTCTTTTCTAATTACTTTCCACTAAGACCATGATTTAGATAATGAGCATTAGACCACAGTGCAGCGTTTACATGCTGAAAAATGATGCAATCCATTAAACAAGCATGCCTACCCAGAAATTGTTATTGCTTCAATTTTATCATTCACTCAGTTACAACATTTGTTTTCAATTTCAAAAAACACGACCGAGTCAGTCCCACGAGTTTGAAATGTGCTTAATGTCCCGTGATGCGATGCAGTTACAGTGCACAAAAAAACCAAAAAAAAGGGAAAATGAAGAGTCATAAGGGGGCTATGCCACACTAAAATCATTGTAACAGGTTGGCTTTTATGATTAATTTGTTATTGTTTTAATGCTGACCCCTTATTGATACTTCAGTGATCTGGCAAAGGATGCAATGAAATTACTAAATTTCACAGATCATTTAATTGGAAACAAAGATAGTAAAATATGGAATAAAAATCATTTAGGACATTCTTGACATATCAGGGGATAATTTGATTGAATATTACAGTTTTGGATAGAATGAGACTAGTGTTTATGAACTGAAAGTACATAAAACTGATTGCAATAAGACGGACTGCTGTTTTTTCTCTTTGTGATTATGGCAGAGTACCAACCTCCTGTGTGTGGAACGTGACATGGGATTTTTATGTTT